AACTAAAATAATTATCAACGGAAAATCATGGCGCCTAGGGAGCAGTTCCCTTTTGCTGAGGTCGACAATGTGACAAATATAGATTTTTAAGGTAAATGTTCCACCTTTTTAGTGGAATATTTGATATTGATATTAACATATGCTCAATTTCAGAACCTGCAAGAATTTTTTCAAATTTTTCTCAAATTCATCAAGGGAGAATCTGTTATCAAAGTAAAAACTTTCATTTTTTTTTAAGTAATCAATTAATGGACATTGAAGAGACATCCAAAGCTGAATAGGACGAATTATAAAAAATGGACGTTTTGACTGTAATTGTTTGAAGAATTTGTAATAAGAATTTTTTTGATACTCCAAAATGGATTTGATTCAATAACTAGATATAATTCGGTATTTGAGGTTTCAATTGCGTACGTCAATATTTTTTCAAGGAAATTCGACCGATTCCGAGTATTTTTTTTTTTAAATTTTAACCATATATGCCAACATAATTGTATATTAGATCCACCTAGAACGGGACCTTCTGATTAAATGTTCCCTGGAACCTTACGATGCAGTAAATTTTCAATTTAGATCCACTACTTAATATATTTTGAAATAGGTCGGGATTTTGAAATACAGGGAAAAATTAAAAAAACTGCAACCAACTTCAGACTGCTGTTATTTCTAAGCCACTCGTCCGACAGCTGTTAAAATTATTCCAGTGACAGGTCATTATATTGTTTACAAGCGTACAAAAGCATTTTGGTGAGAATTTTCCAGAAAAAAATTATTCGTGATGAAATTCAAGCGTTTTAGGGTGATTTCTTTAAATTTGGCTGGAAAACCTCAAGGGGCAATCGTTAGAGCACACCAGCACTTAAATGTGAAAAAAATCTTTTGTGTCTCGTAACATCGCTTTTTACCGAAATAAAAATGTGCACCTTCGGTTGGCCACCAGAAATCAAGCACCGGCCATGGTGATGGTGTGGGCCACCACAACAGAATAAATGCCGAATATTATCGCGAAAATATTCTGGAGGGTGTATTAAAGCCTTGGGCACGCAAACATTTTGGCCCCAGACCTTTGACATTCTAACAGGACTCAGCACCATCGCGCCCCTAAGAATGGTTAAAAAATGAGGTTCCTCGCTTAATTTCCAGCTCACAATGAGCCCCAAAATCTTCGGATACCATTTCGTTGGACTATTGTGTCTGGAGTATTTTGGAAAGCAAGGTTGGCACTAAAAAATACCAAACTGTCGATCACCTCAAGCAAGTTCTTCGCCGGGAATGAGCCAAAATACCGCAGAGCAACATTTGGGCGGATTTATTGGCCGTTTGAAGGCCATAATTCGTGTTAAAGGTGACCAAATTTGATGATATTTCCGAAATTTTTGCTCTCTTTCACTAAAATTAAAAAATAAATGTAAAAATTGTGGCGTTTGACTTTTTTGCAGTTTTTTATCTCACCCTGTAGCCTCCATATGATGTAAGAACACAGTTGTTGGAGTTTTAAATTCCCAGCGAACTTTCTTTGTGTAATAAATTTTATATTGGACAACAACAGACTAACTCACAAATATTTATGAAGTATTTAGAAATTCAAATGTAAAAGTTTTTAAGGCAGATCTATTCTATCCCCAAAATATTACATTATTCTTATACCTTCCCCCATCGCCCACTTTCGCCACATATTTGTAATTTATTTAAGCCGTAACATAGCGTCATCTTTACGATGTTGACTCAGATGTAAAATTGCGTTTGCGTTAATAATATTGAATACAGCGATATTGTGAATTCATGTGTTTTTGCAATGTCATGTCAATATTTGAATTTTAACAAATCAAATTGAAAATGTTGTCAACAGCATATATTTTGGGCCAAAAATGCTCAGCTCCAGCTTCCACTGACAACGCGATTTTAACCCAGGGCGTTGGTAGCGATGCCTTTTGTTGTCATAGCTGTTCCATGTTTGTGGCTAGAACAATGATTGACATGTCTGAAGAGGATGACGACGACTATGGTGATGATGATGGTGATGGTATAGAAAATATGTAGTTTTATTCAATACAAACCGCATTCAAACAAATAGGAAATGAAGTATATACAGGTAGGCCTTTGTAGTCGGAATAGTGGACAGGATTTGCAACTTGCAGTAGAAGATACAAGCTACTCATAAAGATTTTATAAACTAAAAAAAAACCTGAAGACCCTCTCGGGATTTTGTAGGACACCATAGAAATCAGTCATAAACGTAAGGAACCATTTTTCCTCTTCACAATTTGTAGGCATATTGATGCACTCTACCCATTCCATCGAGTGCCACCTGTGTTCACTCTCCTGCCACTAAATTGTATATTTATTCAGAAATTCCTTTCAAACGTACAAAGAAACAAAACGCACACACACTAACAATTTGAAAGTCTCCACAGCCAGCAAAAAAAGGATTACCGTATTGGGAGGTGGAGGTTTTATTGGGTTGGCAAGGATGTAATGGGTGCCCCCATAGGCCTAGAGCGAGCCTCACTTAAATATGCATGTCTTGAACAAACAAACGCTGAAAACAACAACGCTCGAAAAGAATAATAAAACCGAAGCCAACAAGAACAACAACAAACCGTAAAACATCAGGGGAACTACGTGTGTTAACAAGGCAAATGTAAATAATCCAAGAAATCGAATTCAAATGCGAATTAAATGAATGGAAACGGAATCGCGAGAAAATATTTGCTTTAGTCAAAACCCAAGACTTGTCTGCCAGCCACGCCATGCCAAGCCATCCACCATTCCATCCATCCAACCATTCGTCCATCTATTCAGGTATTCGATGTGTGTTGTTGTTGTTGTTTTTTTTTTTTTTTTTGCTGATGTATTTCTGCGTCTATTTGTATTTGCCTAATGCCGAAGTTGCTGCTGCGACTGTGGCGGCTGCTGTTTCGGTTTATGGTTACAATTGCTGAAAGAGGCTGGCAACAACACATTGCCTGCATCGCACTAACGTGATGTTGTTACAACTTGAGCCGCTGCATTTTAATTTGAAAACAACCCAACAACTTCAGGAACCATTATACAACGTCCTCGTACGTCCTCGAACGTACGAATGTTTGGATACATGTGCGCCAATGTTTACAGACATGTAAGCTCTTGTTATAACTAAGCGAGTATCTGACATTGCCGCTGCTGCTCCTCTCTTGCTGCAATTGTGGAGAATCTTGGCACTACGCTATGTTGTCATTGGGTGGTGGAGGGATGTGGTGATCCAGAAACACCAGTACCTTTAAATCAAGCAAGTAACAAACCAAATATCCGTTCCACACATACCACCATTATTTCCAGCATTCACCTATCCGTCCAAAACAACCAACCATCCATCCATCCATTTGTACGTTACTGCATCGATTGCATGATCCTTTTTGGAATACCAAAAGAAAATCTTTTTCATACGATGATGGTTACCCATTTGCTTAGCAGAATCGGGGCAACAAGAATTGTATATTAGGGGGCCTCAAACATATCTTAAAGCAATTTATTTCAGTTGAACGAGAGATCTGTTCATAAATATTATTAAAGAACTTTTTAAAATGATCTACTTTTCTAAATTTTGATGTTTAGGATGTTGCCCCGATACCTCCTGATTTTCAGTTATGATAAGCCAATTGGAAAAAATCTCTTGAGAAAAAAATCAATATACGTCCATCATTTGGTCATCATTTGGTTTTAATAATAATTTTGATAAGCCCCTAGAGGTACTGCTAGATTTTCAGTCATACTTTTTAACGGTAAGAAAGAATATCGGTCATGTAACGGTCAATTTTGACAGCAATCTTCTATTGTGGAGAGTATACCAAGTTGATGGACATCAAAACTAGCGGAAGCCCGATATTACTATATGTATATATCCCTAATATAGGCAAATTAAACAAAACTACACATACCTATGGAAATTTTGTTAACCAAAATTTATAATCTTCGGAATCATAGGCCATATAACACAAGTTGTAATTTTGTCCCTATTTCGGGTCAAAATAAAATGTTGAGTTTTACTCAAAGGCCCTCCTACCCTCGAAACGCCCATTATTTTCTGGCAATGTTCTGCTGCAAGTGTCTGCTGATGTGTTTTTCTTTGGCAGCTGTGCGCACAGTGTTGCTGCGATTTGCATAAACCATTAGGGAGCCTTTTGTGACTGCAGCAATAACAGCAGCATTAGCAACACTTTTCGCTAACAACGTTACAACTTTGTTTCATTTCAACCCTCCCCCTGTTTTTTCTACCAAATAGTAAACCATCAATGTCGTTGGTTGGCTGGCATTGTCATGGATATTTCATTGTTGAGGCATTTCTTTGGAGAATTCTTCTGCTAGGCATCATCTTTTAACAGTTGATTTTGTCTCTGTTTGTCGTCACTTTGTGCCCCATGGATGTTGCGTTTTATTGGATTTTTTTTGTTTTTGTTTATTTGGTTGGTTTGTGGTTGGTGCAACTTGCAACATTTATGGCAAGTCAGTTCTCAGTGGAGGAGAAACAGTGCGGTTTGTGTGTCATAGCAAACATTGGGCGACAAAGAAACAAACCTGCGCCAGAACAAACAACAATACTTCAGGTTGTGCTGGGAGTCATATATCGTCATTTCAGCGATATGCTGAACGCACTTGAACAACATTTGCAACAACTGCAGGAGCAGGAAAAAAAATGCAATTTTAACTCGAGTGGAAGTCAATTGTCAAGAAAACAAAACGAAGCCGGGCGAATCGAAACGTAGCGAAATTGTAACCACAACAACGACAACAACAGTTGCAGTACTTAATTTTGCAGAGATTCTTCTTTTTAGCTAAGCGTTTCAAAAATATTCACGTCGTCTGTTGGCGATAGGATTTTTCGACGCTTCTCAAAGCTCAAGAACATAACGTTTCATACTAGTCCTTGATGTTTGGCCAACACACAACATAATTTCTAAGACTTCTATGTCCTCAACTAGCCAGGATTTGAATCTCTTCCTTTTATGAAAAAATGCATCCGATCATGTTATTTTTCTCTCATCAATTTATTAATTAACAACAACTCGGTTTTATTCCTCGGGGCAAGGTGGGGTCCACACCCATGAACTGGCTGGAATACAGGCTTGGGTGGCCGAATCATAAAGGCTGGAACTGGGGCAGCGTCTCAACTCAGCTTCAGCACCGGCAGAAACACACAACCAGTAGGCCGTGGGATCCCAGAAGTTGCGGGAAGGCTGGCCAACATTGGCACTAGTGCACACAGGTTTGCCATTGCCATCAGGATCACATTCATCGCCAACAGCAAATACGCAGGCAAAGGCCAAAGCCAAGATAGCCAAAGTGAAAACTGTGGAAGAGAAGGATAAATGTCGTAGTTTTCTTCACTTTTGCTCCTCCACGCTTCTTACCGAATTTCATTTTGTTCGTGCAAAATAATCCAAATGTTCTAACAAAAACGATTTAACTAATCTGCGAAACTTGGCAAAACTTATTTTTATAGCAAAAGTGACAGTGAATTGGCTATTGATTTTCTTATCAATTGCCCTGATTACTTTTCCACTCAATTGTCCCATAACAGCTCAAGTGGCCTTCAGCTAAAATCAAAACACTGCCACCATTTGCGGTATTTTAATTAGTTAAACCAAGTGAAGTGGTCTCGGCTATTTTTGGTGACACCGAACTTTTTGGGGGAAAGTACACATACCCTAGGACTTTGTGGGAATTGATGTATAAAATGAAATGATAACTTCCTTCCGATAAATCTAATAAGTACCAAATTCCATGTATCACTCAGTGCAATGGTACAAATAAAATTCAATTGCAAACTTTAGAACTGCAAGGTTCCTGAGGGCAAAAAAAAAAAAACAAAAACACATAAATGAAGGCAGATAACAAAGCTAGCCAGCCGGTTGTTATGGAATGGTCATTTATTTGAAATCGCCCACCTCAGATAAGTAAAAGCCAATTATTTTGCAAAAATGACATTGGAATTGTTAGCCGGAGCTGATATCCCCGTTCTAAATTGAGTCGTTTTAATGGACTTTTGGACCTTATGGAATGCGAGTGTGTGTGTGAGTGCCGCACTTTATTGAAGCCCGCCTAGCCATCTGTTGGCTGTTTGTTGGCCATGTTATTTGATGTTACAGTGAAGTCTATCTTTAAATTGAAATCTATTTCAGTGATGAACTCACTCACATTTGAATTGCAAAAATTATTATTTGCCCATGCAACAATAACAATAACGACATCAACCAAGCCTACCTACCTACCTGGCTGCCGGCCTGCCTATCTTGTCATGGACTTGGGTTAGGGGAGCTTTGGACTGTTACGTTTTTTTCCGTTTGTTTTCTTTTCGTCTTGTCTTTTGGGTTAGGAATATTCGGTTAATAATGAAAAAGTTGTCGTTGTTGTTCATATCATGTCACCAAAATCTTTAACAAATTTTTATGCAAACATACTTTGTACACTCTTTTTTTATTTTATTTTTATGTTAATCCCTTCTTCATCAAACAGGCGATGGGTCGATGGGACGGGCAACAGCAGCAGTGACAGTTACAACAAAATAGCAACAGTAAAATGAAGACACGTCTCTGATTCAATTGCCAAGATAATTGCCATGCCATGGATATTGAAATGAGTTTCGGCAAATAAACATTCAGCCATTAGACGACTGTCGAACGGGGCGAAAGGTGGTGGCGGTGGCATGGAAAGGGAGTCGTAGATATTATCTAATTCAAATTTCGAGTCATCAAATTTAAGCAAAACTTTTGGCAATTTTCTTCGTAAACTTCTGCAGTGGTACGCATTGTGGGCACGTGATTTCTGAAGGATATCAGCGCCCTATTCCAGAGAAGACAATTCGCCGTTTAATTTGGTAGAGAGTTGGGAGAATCATATTGGGAAAGGAGGAAAATAAAAAAATAGATATTTGCAGAAAAGTATTTCGGTATTTAAGGGTGGTGACACTGAAAATAGATTTTTGTTATTCCCAGGAGCATACTTTTTGAGTGGGCGAGGTTATAATGGAAAGGATAATCTACAACATTAAAGCGGGGAAATTAACATACGAGCTTTTCAGGCTCTTTGTAACTGTGGTCAATGTATGGATGGTAAATATCGCTGCGATAACTACTAAGTGGCATTGTGTGTCTGCATTGTACTGCTCCAGGTCTGTGCTTTTTAGAAATAGAAAATGACTTCCAAAAAAAAATTCTTACCAAGATTTTAAGCAAAGTTAGGTCGAGTGTTGTGGAATAGCTCTTTATATTTGGAATTTTTCTGGGTTCTTTCATATGTTGCCATCGGATTTTTTTTGGAATTAAGTCTATCATCAATTCTAATATTTATGCCGCCTATTAGGTCCTGGTTTTGATACAGCCGCCGATGATGTTCAGTAATTTGAAAGTTTTAATCTTCTTTTATGGTCTATCTAACTCTTACGGAGCAGTTAAAAGAACATAGCCCCAAATACAGATACCTCCCGATATTTGTCATTTGGAAGGTTATAACTACATTCTCCTACTGGAATGCTTAGCTTACAATGTAACTCAATTGAATATTGAATCCTGCTGTTATTTTTTGAAAAGGGCTTCTATTCCGCATGGTGGGGAATTGAAAATTTCGACCCTAACACATTTGATTCTAATTTAGAGGAATCCACCTCAGCAGTTGCCCTCATTTCACTCTCTCTCTCTCTTTCTCTCTCTATCTTTCAGATGTATCGTAGGACTTTAAGTTTCTTGTAATATTCTCCATCATCCCATCAATAACCATGGCTTGAATATTTCCCAACTAACAACTTGAGGTGGGCAACTATCGCCATTTGGCGTCATTACATTCAGGTCACAGCGTTATGAATTACTTCATCAGCTATTTATGAATTGGCTGTGAATTTTGGGTCCAGCCCGATTTCGTTTTTCTCTTTGATTTTGAATGAAAGCATAAAAAATTACTTTGGTGGTTACGATGACATGTGAACATGCTTAGTTTTGAAATCTCATCATGTAAATATTTATACAACTTCTTGGATTCAATGTGTCAGAGGCAAGACAATGTAGCTGTCGTCGTCATCACCGTCATCATGATGCGGTGTTGTTGCCTATTGGAGACAATGGCAGCCAACAAAACAACTGGGTCCCCACAATGACCAGGGCGAGAGAACAAAATATGAATAATCATCAAACTATGTGTGATCTCCACTCGTTGCGGCTATTCATCATTTGCTAAGCTTTAAAAATGAGATCTTCCATAGAACTCCCACGTAGCAATCAATGGCTGGATGGATGTATGCATGTCAGGTGATAAATGGTCAGAGACCATCGAAGGCAAACAATTCCGATGCCATACAAACACAACGCATCCCACCTTCTCCTCCTGGGCTGGCTTCTAACGACACACTTTGATACTTTCTATGCGCACAGTGCATCATTTGTGGGGCCTTACAACAAATGTTTGTGTCTTTCGAATTCGAATGTCTTCTAATTCCACCCAACAAATGGCCGGAACTGTGCAAAGTCATTTCTGTGTTCATTCAAGAGAATATCTGCTGTTGCGGCTGTTTGGCTTGTCATAAATTGTTTGCATTTTGGGAGTCTCTGAATTTGCACCACGCCGAATGGCAGACATATTTTACCCGGTGCACAGCAAGCTGTTAAGCACAGCCATAATAAGTCATTAGAAATCTGTGTCCTCATATTTGTCGTCGTCGTCGTCTTTTTTTACTGTCTGCTTTTCCTAGAAAAAGAATGAAGAAGAAGAAGAAGAAAATTTGGGCAGACTTCCAAAATAGCAATGAATTGCATATTGTTGACTGAAGGCAGCAAAAAAAAAATGAACAAGAAACATTTATTTGCAATTATCGAGAACGAATGGGTGTACACGGGTGCACACGCTGCTACAAAATCCTCTGTGAAAAGGCAATGTATACCAATGAAGTACAAATAAATGTTATTATCTTACTGTATAATGAACTTAAGTCGTATTTTTCCGAATCGGTTAATTTTCATTTTTTAACGAATTTCTCAAGAATACCCATTTAAACGAGTTTGAGTAGATCCGAATAGAAATAGCGAAAATATTAACTTTCTTTAATAATAAAGTCTTTTTATATTGCTATAAAGCAAGAAAAATACTAATTAGAGGTTTTCTGGGTTAAAGGGATGACATTCAATGAAGGGATTGTAAAACAAATAATTCAGGACAATTTCAAAAATTATAATTTCAATATCTCCAAAATTACAGGTGAAGTAAGAGTAAGCTTCACCTGTAATTTTTAAATCCACTAAATTTTAAAATTATCAAATATTTTTACCCCTTCGGAGGTATGGCAACTCTTTGTGAGTAACGAAATATTTCAGAATGAATTTTAACATTTACAAGCTGTAAAATTCATGAATGAATGAGCATCACGCGACATCTTGGCAGTTGCATCTTTCTGGGTGCGCTCTATCTAAGGCTACTACTGCTACTGTCTGTCAGCGGAATTCTGATAAACACACAACGGGGCCAAAACAGAAATATGCCAATGTTGCCGCTAAGAGTTCTGTGCAAGAATGTGCCGCGGTTGTTGTCCTCGTTGTCTTCGTCGACGAATCTTTAATGTACAAAAAATATGTATTTTGTAAAATTTGTGATGTTGTTATGAAAATTAACGCATCCATAAAAATGATGCTTTTGAAAATTGTTGCACAAAAAAAAAGGAGAAGGAAAATGTTAATCAGACATTGTCGGCAAATGTAAAACGAAATGTGCCTCTAATTTTGCCTGTCTTCTCGCCGGCTAATGATGAGCAGCGTAATGTAATGTAAATTTAAAATTTTCTAAATTAGCATTCATTGCTTTATGATAGATATTATAATTACAGCTGGCATTATCAAATTAGCCAAGAATGTTTCTGCCAAAAGAAGATATAGTTAAACTCCCAACATGTTTCTAGTTTTGAAGAGAAGCAAAGGACTTCTGAGTAGGATACCATTTGGCTTATTTGTAGTGGGAAGAAAGAGTAAAGGAGACATTCGAAACCTATCATAAATTTCTGATCTATAAAAGATCCAATTAGGCTTCCTTATCAATATAAGTTTCCATAGGTCTGAAAAAAGTTTGAGCCCTATCACTGGTGTACATGAGTATCCATTGGTGTCGCAGTCCAAAAAAAAATATATAATTAAGAGAAAACAAAAATTATATTTGTCTTTATATTTAACGACTCATTTCAATTGTTTATTAAAATGAATGTTGTCCAAGAATATTTTTAAACGTATTGATATAAAAAATGTATAAATAACGTTATAACACTTCCTTCTTTTTTAGGGGAAGTTAGACTTGGTTGAGAGGTCTTCTAGCCTTGGAACCTCTTCTGAAGGTTTCAGGTTTTCAAGATACCTATGATTTTTGTATTGTCCTCTATATGGAGAAGCCTTTTTGAAAATCTTTTGATGTATACCAAAAAAATATTTCCATGGAAAAACTGAAAAAGATTCAAAGGCTCTCTGTGCATAGGAAGTGGCTGGAGAGTTTCTAGCTCCGTATATTACATTTGATGAGATATCTCT